CGCGAGCAGCCGGCATCGCCTGGGTGAGCCGCCGGCCGGGCAAGCGGGAAGCGGCGGGAAGGCTGGCTGGGGCTCCCCGGCGGAGGCTCCGCTCGCCCAGCCGAAGGAGGAACCGGACGCCGCCCAGCCCGATCGCCTCTGCTGCGGGGCGCTCTCCCTGCTCTCGCCGGCGCCCGGGAGTTATTGAACTTTCTTGGAAAGTTGAGGCGTGGCGGAGCGACGCCAAGAGGAGGAGGAGGGAGGAGGAGGAGGAAGGAGGAAGGAGGGAGGCGGAAGGAGGCGAAGGCTCGGCCGCTGCCCGGCTTCTCCTAGGGCGAGCGTCTCCTCTCGGCTCCCTGCGATTCCGCCCGTGACGTCACGGCCGCCGCCGCCGCCGCGCCGCCTGCTCGCCGCTCGCCCCTTCTCAAACCTCTTTTAAGGCTCGGGGTTCCCCCCCCCCCCCCATTTTTTTTTTTTTTTGAAAATATTCCTTATTTATTTGTTTGTTTGTTTTATTTCAGGCCGCCCGCCGTGTCGCGGCCTCTGATTGGGGGACGCGGCGGCCGAACTTGACGCTGGGCGGTTGGCAGCCAATGAGGAGGAGGAAAGGAGAGAGAAGGCGCGGGGAGGGGAGAGGAGGGGAAGGGAGGACCTGAGGGGAGGGGGTCGGTTTCGGGACTGGGAAAGCGCTCTTTTTTTTAGACCCTTTAGGATTCCTTGCCTCTCTTCCGTTTCCCCGTTCCTCTGTCTATCCGAATATAAATGGGTGGTTGTTGTTATCTCTGGCGTGACAATAGGGATCAGTTTGAGAGCAGAAATCAAGGTAGGGGGGAAAAAGGAAAGGAAAGGAAAGGAAAGGAAAGGAAGAAAGAAAAGAAAGAAAGAAAGAAAGAAAGAAAGAAAGAAAGAAAGAAAGAAAGAAAGAAAGAAAAAGGAAGGAAGGAAGGAAGGAAGGAAGGAAAGAAAGAAGGAAGGAAAGAAGGAAGGAAGGAAGGAAGAAAGGAAGGAAGGAAGGAAGGAAGGAAGGAAGAGAAAGAAAGAAAGAGAAAGAAAGATAAAAGAATATTTGCGTGTAAGTGTGTGATATTTTGAGTTGTGCAGTCTTGTGCCTACGAGATCGTTACAAAAGTAATATATACGTAACCTATCTCTTTCCTCACGATGGGGTGTAAGTTAAAATGCAGGGTTTATGTAGGGCTTCCTCCCATTGTGTCCTTCTTTGGAAGATCAGAAGCATTTGTCGCCACAGTCCTAGGCAGGAGAAGCGACCCAACTTCATTGAAGAACTAGGGAAATAAGAGCGGGGCGGGCAAAATGTCCCTTGGAGCCAACTGGGAGAAACGCCTGGCTTCCTTTCCTAAGGGACGGGGGAGTGGAAAGGGAAGCGGCTCCTGGGGAAAATAATAATAATAATAATAATCTCGGTCTAGAACCGACCCGCCTGTTTATTTGGAGAAGACTTTAAGAGAAGTGGCAGGCGGCAGTGGCCAAGCTGGGTGGTTTTTCTTCCTGCATGCGACTTTTAGTCTGTGGCTTAGCTACAACCGCCGGCTCTGGGTCTCCATCCAGAGAGTGGTTCCATCCATCCATCCATCCATCCATCCATCCATCCATCCATCCATCCATCCATCCATCCATCCATCCATCCACAACACACGCACGCATCTCCTTTCCTTCTCGTTCTTGGTTTGCCTTTGGCCGGCTGCTGTTTCCAGCGCCTCTTATTTCCTAACCGACCCAGTTAGGGCCGACACGCCGCGCACGTCGGGAGCAAGCACCGCGTTTGGCTTCGCGGAAGAGTCTCAGCCTCTGTTCATCTGTCTCTAGGACGCCGCGGCGGTTCGAACCTGTCCCTTGTTGAATGTCAGGGTAATGGGAAGTGCCAGTGACAAGACGCCGTATTGCTCCTCCTGATTAAGTACCGCCAACCTAATTAGCAGAGCAATTATAAGGTGCTAATGAATGATTCAAAGTTCGGCGAGTTGTCTTTTACTCCGAATCGCGCCGGTTGTTGGTTTTTTTTTTAAAGGAACCGGCGGATCGAAGGGAAAAGCGACTGTTCCCGCAAGGAAAGCGCCTGCATCCCTTCCAGGTTCCCCACCTTCTGCCTCCTTTCCTCCCGTCTCCGGTTCTTTTTTCTGTCCTCCGCCAGCACCGTTCAAACCTTGCGCTTCCAGAAAGAACCGAACGAAATCTGTTCGTGTAAAATAGACGCGTAGGGGCGAATTGAAAATAAATAAGATAGGGGCTGTGTGGTGGTGGTGGTAGAGCGGGGGGATGTAGTAGCCTCTCTTTTTTGTAAAAAAAAAAATTAAGATAATATAATTTCAAGGAGTTGGAGAGAAGGCGGCGTTTTGCACCTGCGTCTCTGCAAGTTTTAAAAGAATCTTGGAAGTGTCATCAAGGCTGGTAGGTAGATCAAGATTTGGGGGAAGAAGGAGGAGAAGGAGAAGGAGGAGAAGGAGAAGGAGAAGGAGAAGGAGGAAAAGAAGAAGGAGGAGGAGGAGGAAAAGAAGAAGAAGAAGAAGAAGAAGAAGAAGAAGAAGAAGAAGAAGAAGAAGAAGAAGAAGAAGAAGAAGAAGGAGGAGGAGGAGGAGGAGGAGGAGGAGGAGGAGGAGGAGGAGAAGGAGAAGGAGAAGGAGAAGGAGAAAAGAAGAAGAAGAAGAAGAAGAAGAAGAAGAAGAAGAAGAAGAAGAAAGAAGAAGAAGAAGAAGTAGCAGCAGCAGCAGCAGCAGTAGTAGTAGCAGTAGTAGTAGTAGTAGTAGTAGTAGTAATAGGGGGGGGCATCGGTGAAGTTTCAAGAGACACCGTCCAGTTTAAAATATTGTTCTGACGCTCCTTGGGTTGGCGATGTATGTCTATGCGTGGGAAGAAGAAGGGAAGACCAGAGAAAATGAAAAGACAAAGTCAGCCTGAGAAAGAAGCAATATACCTGAACGAGGTTTCTCCTCTCCTTCGAAACAGGGGGGTTGCCAGCAGCCGGGGCGTCAAGGCACAGCGACTTCGGACGGCTTCTAACTGCCGAATGAGTCCCACTGCGCCTTGCATCGGCGCCTCCATAGCTTTGGCCCCGTGTTCGCTCCCAGTGACACCCTCCTATCACGGGCCAAGCTAGGAGAGGCTTGGCATTATGGTGTGTGAATTGCTGGCTGCGGCGGGAAGCCGCCGACAAGTTCGGCGTGGCTGCCCAGCTTTGCTGGTATTGTCCCAAGAACGAGCAAGTGGTAAAAAAAATCAGGACTTTTACCCTTTAAAATGAATAAAAAGATTTAAGGGCGGGAAGTTAGGGGAGAGGGAGAGACGCAGAGAATTGCCAATTTGGCTAGGACCGCGTAAGTCTTGTTGCCCTTTTTTCCCTTTTCATCCCTGAAAGATAATCCAAACACAGTTGCTATTGTGGATCGATTTCCCTCCGAAAATATTTTTTTTTCCCCCCGAGTAAGGGGTAGATAACTATGTTCTGTATTTCCAACGTAGGCTATAGCTTTCCCCCCCCCCCTCCCCGTTGGTCCAAATTGAAATATATTTAAAACCGTTCAGCATTATCCTTCCAGAACTAATTCTTTGAAGTATTCATGGCTTGGGTATAATAAACAGTTGCTTTTTGGAAAAGAAAGAAAGAAAGAAATAGGCGAGATAGGAATGTAATTCAACTGAGGAAAAAGCCGAGGTCGACCCGCCACCCGTTTCTCCAGGTGTTTGTTTTTAAAGTCTGCTCTAGTCGAAAAGATTCGCAGGCGACGATTTTTGCCTTTCAGGCTCCGAAGATACGAGAAACGTTGACATATGAAATACCTCCTTCGGGATGGGAACGTCCACACAATGAAAGGAGGGAATGGGAGAAATGAGCATCTTTGAAGCTGCCCACTTCATCCCTGTTGAAATATTGATGGAGATGGGCATTTTATTGGGGAGGGCTTTTTAAAAAAGGGGAAAGTTTGAAACTGAAAAGTTCAAAACAAAATCCGGAAGGTAACACTTCCTCCAGAAGACATGTCAAAATTTGGGATTCCCCAGTCTTCTGAGGAGCGATGGGTTTGCACGTTGCATTTATTACTCGGATCAAATCGATTATCCCTCGGTGGCAACGCAGGACGGATTTGAAGCGGAGGGTTTTTTTTCGTATTTGTCTCTGAACGCAACAACACACGGGCTGTGTAATTCGGAGCTCAGCGAGTGGATAGGGCTCTCATTTAGGGGAAAACGAGGACACGGTTTCAACCGGATATGGGGTTTGGTGGACATTTTGGGAACTGCTATCCAAAATCTTTATTTATCGCAAAACCTTACA